ATTTCCCCACCCCTGCCCCTCCCCACTCTGCGCCCGGTTTCTCCTCTACCCCATCCCAGTGATGAACGTGCCCACATTAGGAAAGTTTTTTTTGGAGACCTATTCCCTTCTAGGTGTTCTTTTTTTCTTGGTCTTTTTTTTCCCCATGAGGACAGGCAGATGTTTGGATCGGCAGTCAGAACATTTGGCATTCCCGCAGGGCTGTTGCTTTGGGGTGACTTTGCCAAGGTCACCATTTGCCCTGAAGGGTCACCAAGAAGTCCTTGACTTACCTCTGCATGTGATTCCTGTCGGAGCAGAGGAGGCCCCAACACAGTGCCCTTGAGCACAGGAAGCAGTTTGATTGAGGTCAGTTAGACGTGGGCCCTCTGGCCTTGCGGCGTCCAGAAGGACCAAGGCTTAGCCTCCGACCACTCCCTTCCACCTTCCCTCCAAAATCACAGAAAGAAACTATTAAAACTAAACATTGTTAAATGTTCGAAAACTGTTAGTTTTATGGGACGGAACTAAAATATCGAGCTTCTCAATTCAGTGCAAGGGACCAGGCAACACTATTCCACGTCCTGGTACCATGAGCCCGTCGGAAGTTCACTTCGCATGGACGTTTCTGTCTGTAGCTTCACATCTAACTTCTACTTTGGGGGATCTCGACTGTTGATATGGGACATGGGTCTTACTGCTCCGTTTTGCAAGGGGAGAAACTGAGGCAAAGGGACATGTCATGAAATGATCCACGGAGCTGGCCTGGGACTTTCCCTGTGACTTCAGAGCCAGCTCTGTAGTGTCACCGCAAAGTTTTTTTTTTTTTTAAATCTAAGCCCCCTTCTGAGTAGCGGACACCATTATGGACCACTCCCTAGAAAACTGACAAGCTCTAAATATCTGATAACTGGTGATAATTGATGGTGTGGGGGATGTTCGTAGACCACTGGAACGTCCCTTGTAAGAGAAGAACTTCTGCTTCAAAATATAATAATGTTAAAAAACAAAATATAATAATGTGTGATCTATAGGCTGGTGTTTATTGAGCGGTGTGACCCAAATATGTGCTAAGCCTGCCTGCGTGATATTTTATTTTATAACCCCAAGAGGTGCTGTTTCTCATTATCCCCATTTTATAGACAGAAGACTGAGGCTCAGAGAAGGGAGGAATCTGGCCGGTATCACATGGCCAAGTTCACTGGGGGCTGAAGTAAGCCATAGCCACCGAGCCTGACTTCAGAGCCCCAGCCTGAAATGCCCACCCTGACATCTAGGGGGTTAAGAAGGGAGCCCCGTGATCTCAAACTGAAGTTAAGTTTTGGCCACTGAAGGACAGAGAGGGAGATGTCTTGACATTTCTTGGTGCCCCTCAAAATACTGGGCCCTGGTAGAGTCAGGGATGGGGAATCAAGGTAACTTCTGGTGTCCCTCTGTCCTCCCCAGCTGGCTGGCCCCAGAACGGCCAGCGCGTTCACCATCCCTTCTCCAGCTGCTAGCACGGTGTGAACAGAGTCATAAAAACAGTTGTAGATGTGAAGGAGAGGGCGATTATTATTAGCACTGAGCTAAATCCCACCTGCGGCGAACCATCCCGGTTCTTTGTGCGCCCACACATGTTACATCAGGATAACTTCCCCAAGCACATTGGAGAGTGAATAAATGGCGAGAGCTGTGGTGGGATTGTGGGGCCCCTCGTGAATTTTTAATCACAGATCGGCGTGCTCGCCAGCGGAGGAATCTGCTCCCGGAGAACAGGAATGTTACAGTCCCTCGCCTTGCCCCACTGCGCTGCTTTGGTTGTTTGGGCAAGGCTGCCAGAAACTGAGTAAGCATCGGAGGGCACCGCAGCAGCACCAGGTCCCAGCACGCCAGCGGCCCGGCCACCTGCCGCAGTGAAAAGGCCAATTCAGACCGCTGCAGTGGAAAAAGGTTCTCAGGGGCGTTCGTTAGCTGGCGGCATGCTGTGGGTGCAGCTTGGCCACGGATTTCAATATTCCCTTGTAACGTTTTACAACCCAGACCCGGCGACAATGGCGTCATTCATGGCACTCGCTCACGTGGAACAGAATGTGAGAGCCCGGGAGAAGCCGGTCTGCGGGCTCCGAGCTCCAACACCCAGGGTGAGACGAGGTGCTCAGGACCCCCGGTGGGTGTCCTGTGAGCCCAGACGATGCAGAGCGAGTTGGCAGGATGCGGGTGCAGCTGTGGATACAGCCGATAGCAGTGGGATTTAATGGTACACTGAAGGTCCTTCCAGGGAGGCCCAGCAGATTGTCTGGTAGAACTGGACACTGCCTGGGTGTAGCCGGTTCCCAGTGCTGTTATACTGGGAAGCTTTGTATCACAGGACAGTTGTGTTGCCCAAGCAGTTGGTGCGAAGGCAATGATTTGCTACTATCCAGTGTGAGTTGGCAAGGGCTTTGGAATATTGCTGACCTGGGCTGAAGCTCCATTTCACCTCTTCTGAGCTGTGTGAGCTGGGGCAAGTGGTTGAACATCTCTGAAACTTAATTTCTTCACTACTAACGTAAATCCGATCGTACCCTAAACTACAGAGTTGTTTCCAAGATCAAGTGAGGGAAAGCAGGTGAGTCGACCAACACGGTGGCTTGGACATTAGGAGACATTGACAGAACAATGTGGATGCTGAAGAGGAAGATGAGGATGGTGACGATGATGATGATGATATTGACTGTGATGATGGTGGTGATGGTGATGATGATGTTGGTGGTGATGAAGGTGATACAACACCAGCCCTCTGGTGCTGCTGCCTTTCTTTCCAGACACGCAAGGGCTTTTCAACTTGCACTTTAATTCTCTTGGGCCCTGGATTCTGCAGTGATGCGCTCCAGCTGGAGACAAAGGTAGTTCATCTGCTCATCACAAGGACGTTAGAGGTCGTTGCTCTATTGCCACTAACCACGCTCTTTCGCTTGGTTCTCCGAGGAGCCCTGTGAAGGTCACCCGAATGTCACTGGATTGTAGCATTTTCTTCCCATTGCCTCTATTGTCTTGTACTGACTGGGAAGTCACTTCACACTTTCACCCCCCTATTTCGACACCCGTCAGATGAGCTTGCAGACGTATTTCAGGCACCGAAAGAGAGGTGCACGGCCGACAGTGGGGATGATGTTTCAGGCTCCTTGGAGAGAAGCCAGCTGGGAGGGGCAAGTGCTTATTGGGGCGAAGTGGCTCCCCCGTTCCTGTGAGTGCGAGTCATCAAAGGCAGGCTCTGCCCTTTCCAGAGAGCGATTTTGCAGTTTGGCAAGGCTGGAACGGAGAATTCCTCGGAGCCCATTGATATGTTCCCTTGTAAACTCCCTCAGCCAACATTTTTGGGAGTTATTTTCTTTAATTAAAACAAAGTAACCATCTCCGTTAAGAATATAAAACCAAAAGAGAGATCCTCCCCCTTTTGTGGGAGCTCTTGACAGCCCAGTGCTTCCACTAAGCAGACCCAAACAGAATTGACGGCGAGGCTGGACAACTTTTATTATTATTACAATTCTTCTTTATTTTCCATGACGTAGCTGGAGCCGCAAAGCGAGAATTCTAAAGCTAATTCCATCCCTTTCAGCTTCCTGGCCCCAGGGGGAGATGCTGAGTGGCAGCATGGCTGCTCAAGACCGCTCCGGCTTTGGTTCTGAGAGGGCACAGGCTGCAGGAAGACTCGGCTAGGAGACCCCTGGGGGTCCTGAGTGTGCCCGGAGCCTCACGGCAACCTGGCAGGCCCTTTGCGTCCCCTGCCTGGCTGCTCTGACATGCTTTCGCATGACAAACAAAGGCAGGGACCCAGAGTGAAGGCCGTCACACCTCTGGGGGGTGGAAATCATGAACCCCAAATCCCTGCTCCCCTAAAAGCACGTCGTGTTTTGAATATTGACAGAAGTATTAGGTGATTGTCCAGAAGTCATTAGGGGACTGTTGGGTTAGATTTTAGTGTCTGTTTTCCCAGCTCTGTGACCCTGGGCAAGTTGCTTCATCTTTCTGGGCCTCGGTTACCTAATCTGTAAAATGCGGACAAGAACACACCTACTTCCCGTGGTCATGGAGAGGTAAAATGGGCTGATGCCAGCAACCTTCGGAATGTGTGAGCTGTAGTGTTTTTTTTTTACATGAGATGACTTCAGGTGTACTCTTTGATTTTAATAAGGATTTATTTTAATAGCATTAGAGAAGCTATAATTAGCATCACAAGCTCATAATTTCACAGATATTATTGCTCAGAGTGAGGCTGAACTTATTTGGATAAAAACCTAATTTAGGAAATGCAGTAAGTTAAAGAAGAGTTGGTTCTGGGTCATGGCAAAAATCAACCATATTTGGGATTTACTGATACGTATTTCTTCAGGGCAGGGATTCTGAACCCATTTCATACCATGGAGCTCACTGCAAGTCCGGTGACAACTGCGGATTAATTCTTAGAATAATCCGGTTGAATGCATGAAATAAAATGTATAGCTAGCCAAGGAAACCAGTTATATTAACAGTGATATAATGATGATAGTTGTCATTTGTTAAGCACTCATTCTCGTTCAGTTTTTCACGTGTATTTGCTCACTGCTTCTCTCGACACCCCTTTGAACTGGGAATTTTTATTATTCCTTGGAAAACAGAGGCATGGAGGAGTTTGTCAGAGGTAACAAGCAGAGCAGCTCAAAAGGAAATTCTAAGGCCCAAGAAGCCACCTGTACAGACTAGGGTAACCTAGCATCATCCCTGACTATCCTAGCGGTCAGCTACCATTCTTGACTCATTTACCTTTCTACATACATATAGGACTGTTCATAAACCTACTTGCCTAATGTATAAGGCATGAAAAGTTAGTGCCCAAATGTGTACATCCAAGGCATATGATGCACTTGAGTATAATTGGATCACTTTGCTCATCAAAGACCCTTTTGTTTCTTTTTCTGTGACTTTTCTGATGGATCCTTTGACCCCATGGTTCGACCAGTAGGGAGGGAAATCTCTATCAGGATGCCAATCTATGTTGTTTCCCATCTTTTCTTTTTCAGTAAAGAATATCCCGTGGTTCCTCGGAGCACGGTGAGACAGAAAGTGGCTTCCAACCACAGCCCTTTCAGCAGTGAGCCTCGAGCTCTCTCCACCTCGTCCAACTTGGGGTCCCAGTACCAGTGTGAGAACGGTGTGTCCGGACCCTCCCAGGACCTTCTGCCCCCGCCCAACCCGTACCCGCTGCCCCAGGAGCATGGCCAAATCTACCACTGCACCAAGAGGAAAGGTGAGTGTGACAGCCCCCGCCCAACCTGCCTCTTTCTCTACTTCTTTTCTTTCCTTGCGGGGGGTGCAAAATGTACACAGGACTACATTTATTCATTTAAAAGTGTAAACAATCCAAAAATACAGTGAGATGGTAAGAAATTCAAACCATACCAGCAACACATGTCCTCCCCCAATTCCAGCCCCTTCCTTGGGGAAAACTCATGTGAAGGATCCAGATTTATTTTCTTCATTGACACACGATCACGCACATACATAAAAAGTTTTGCTTTTACTTTCAGTCACTGATATCAAACTCTACGTGTTTTGCAACTTGCGTTTTTTTAAAACTTAAGAATATGTTGATATCTAAACCTGGAGCTGCCTCATTTTTAAAAAATATTCTATTTATTTATTTTTAGAGAGAGGGGAAGGGAAGGAGAAAGAGAGGGAGAGAAACATCAGTGTGGTTGCCTCTCGAGCGCCCCCTACTGGGGACCTGGCCTGCAACCCAGGCATGTGCCCTGACTGGGAATCAAACCAGTGACCCTTTGCTTCACAGGCCCATGCTCAATCCACTGAGCTGTATCAGCCAGGACTCATTTTTTCTAAACCAATGAAGAGGAAGTATTGCCTGAAAAAAATGAAGTGAGTGTATGTTGTCACTCTCGCTAGCAGACCGGAAGGTCACTTCCAGCGTTGCTGGTTGTATCACAAGCCGTGTTGTTGGGAGTGTCCTTCTAACTGGATGTGCCCCTTTAGCTCACATGCCAGGGTTTCTCCTGGGCAGGTTCTTAGCTCTTCTTTCCTGTCCAGTTCAAAATCAGCAGAAAAAGGAGAGGAGAGGAGAGAAGAGGGGCAGGGAAGAAAGGGAAGGGGAAGGGAGGGAGGGTCACAACCGATTTCCTCTTCTTTGCATCCTTTTTTTTTTTCAATCTACTAAGCTGGTGTGTAAGACATTCATAGTTTCCTTTGCCAAATAACAAATGGATGACTTTTCCTTGGTCCTTTGAGTCCCAAGGGACTAGATGAAGGAAGGAAATGTCTGGTGGCCCGTTTTCTGAACCTGAATTAAAGCAGGTGTCAGGGGCAGCGTGGCTGAGCTCAGCTTTACTAGAACCACAGCTTGGTGTGAGCTGCAGACAGGCACGGTGAGCACAGGGAGGGTAACGGGGCCCCGAAACACAGGTTCAAGTCTCACCTCGGCCACCAGGTTCTTGTGTGACTTCGGGCAGGGTGTCCTAGCCCCTCTGTGCCTTAGTTTCCTGCTTTGTAAATGGTGCTAAGTTTTGTAGAGCACCAGATACTTACAAGCACCTAGTCAGTGGTAGCTATGATTGTGTCAGTGGCACATATTATTCTGGAAAGCATGTCCCTAAAGGAAGCAAAGAGGAACTCTGCTCACCTGGTGAAGGCTTGGGAAATCAGATACAGGGGCATGGGACCATATAGCCAAGTGGTTATGCCCATGGTCTTCAGAATCAGATAATTGGGGTGAATTCTATCTTTGCCATTTGCAAATTTTTATGATTAGGAGTCAGTTACTTAACTCCTTTACTCCTCATTAAAAAAAAAAACTCACCCAAGGACAAGCTTGTTGACCTTAAAGAGAGGGAGAAGGGAGGGAGAGAGGGACTGAAACATCCCTATGAGAGAGAAACATCAATCAGTTGCCTCTTGCATGCACCCTGACTGGGGATCGAACCTGTAACCTAGGTATGTGCCCTGACTGGGAATTGAACCTGAGACCCTTAGGTTTATGAGATGATGCTCTAACCAACTGAGCCACATCAACCAGGGACTCTATGCCTCAATTTTTTCAAAAAATCTGTGCATTTGGGCTTATGATTGGATCTGTCTTGCAGGCTTGGTGTGAAGATGTTGCGAAATCATGATTGTATTGGGCACGGGGTTGACTCAATGCTTTGCTTGGGCAGGCCCAAGTCTGGGTCTTTGGAGTGGCCTGTTGTGTCTCAAAACCTCAATAGCAAACACTACACCTTTGGGAGTGCAGTGCCCAGTGTTTGGCCCTTACGAGCAAGCTCAGTAATAAGAACCAATGGACACAAAGCCCTGGTAGCCTTCTTTGGGGCTGGGGTTACGTGAGGAAACTCATAGTTTGACTGTTTGACATTTACTCATCTTGCATTTTGAAGGGGGGAAGACCTGTCTTTGGTCCAAGCCCTGGCTGGGGAGCTGACCTAGGGGAGGCTGAGGTCTCCAGACTTACCTGAAGCCTGTCCAAGCTCCTTGGATCTCAAAGGCCTGAACAGTATCACCCCAACAGGCCCCCTGGCCCGACTCCCAGCAAGTCCGCGGCCGGATGGGCTGGGGACCAGATGCCTGCAAACATGTCTGCCTCCGCAGGCACGAGCGGGGGTTATAAATGTCTCATGGAGCACAGGTCCCTGCCTGGAGATCCTGTTTCCTATTATATTTAGGGGTGTCCTGCCCAGGTTCCAGACCGCAGCCTTTTCAGGAACACTATTAAGAAGGTGCTTCTAGGAACCAGCTTTACCCATGGGGAAACTGAGGCTCAGAAAGGCAAAATCATGTGCTGGAATTTGAACCCTTGCCCGGTCTGCAGACTCTGCCTGGGCCCCGAACCATCCACTCTGTCCTTTCCCCTTTGCCTGTCGGCTACAATCTCAAAATTGCATCCCCCACGGGAGATTTGCTTTTGAGACTGGGTCAAGCGGGCTGATTAAGGGCTCACCAGGTTTGAATTAGGAGCTCTGTCTATTAAATTAATGCCAGACCAAAAGAAGAGGAGGAAGAAGTTAAAAAGAATCAAGGCGCGTTTTTTAGGTTCAGTATTTATAGCAGCATCCTTATAAGTGCATTCCTGGAGGATGCAGTGGGGGGACTTCGAACGGAAGGCCGGTGAACCGCTTTCGATCATGGGAGCCATTGACTTTCAGGGGCAACTCTGTGGGGTCCTTGCGTGAACGGAAGGTCAACTTCAGGTGGCCACTGGGGAGGCTGGAGTTGATGGCTGGTCCATTGCAAGATGCCCCCATAGTGGACATTCTCCAGTTGTGTGGCCCTGGGCAAGTTGCTTTGACTTTCTGAGCCTTGGCTACCTTTTCCGCAAAATGCGGGTAACAGTGGTGCCTACCCTGTGGGCTTGTTATGGGATGAAATGAGATAATTCACGTGAAGGGCCCAAAGCAGGGCCTGACTTTATGTAAATGCTCAGTGAACGTTAACCAGCCACCGTCCAGCCCTTGCACAGCTCACATTGTCACAAGCAGATCAGACATTATAATTATACGATTGTCTGGTACGAATGGTGATCGAACGCCGTAAAGGAGATACACAAAGTGCTAAGGAGCAAGAAAGTGGGTCTCAGACTGGGGGAGGGGACCGGGAAGGAATTTAAGCTCAGCACTGTCGTTGCGTAGGAGAAGGGGGAGAGAGTGGGTGTCTAGGCACGTACACAGCCCCTCGAAAGATGGGGAGTCTGCCCCCCACCTTGGGCAGTGACCAGAAGGTCAGGGCGGCTGAGCACAGGGAGGGGAAGCCAGGGCCCAGCGCGAAGTCATCCCTTGTGAGCTGTCCTGAGGACTTTAGATTTCATCCTAACACCAGACCGGCAGCCATCACAGGGGTTTAAACCCATGAGTGACGGGGTTCAGACTTTGTTTTGAAGCAGTCACTTGGCTATGATAGGAGGGGACTAGAATGGACACCAGGGCTCTGGTGAGAGGCTGTTGGGAGCCTGGGGGCGTGAGCTGATGGTGGCTCAGACGGGGGGTGTGGGGAGCAGAGCCGGAGATGTGGGTGGCATCAGGACTCGGTGACGGCAGGAGATAACAAAGTGAAGAATTGCCCCTTTTTCACGGATGCGGAAACTGAGGCTCCAAGAGGTTGAGGAACCAGCCCCGTGTCACCCACCTAGTGAGTGGCCCCGCCCCAAATCCACACCACGATCTGTGCCCTGGGAGTGCCTGGGACAGGCACCCTGCGGCGGTCCCTTCACCCTTCCAGAAACCTCTGCCCTTCTCACCTTCCTCCGCCCCCAGAAGAAAGCTCCCAGAGACAGGGAACATTCCAGCCAAGTGCTGTCTGTCCTGCCTGCCCGAGAGACAGAGAAAGCAATTCATCATCAGCCTCCATTGTAAAGTGATAAAGAATCAGCGGAGGTTTCCTTCCAGTTTGGGATTCCCGTTAAGTGATAACTCCATGGGTGGCTTTCCCCTGGCCCCTGGCTGCCCCACTCACTATCTGACTTCCCCCCATTGTCTGTCTCCTTTCCAATGAGCCCAGGAGGCCAGTGCAATGAAATGTCAAAGGGCCAGGCAGGCCAGAGGGCTCCTTGTGTTTGGGCCCAGCTGTCTCCAAACTATCTATCCCGATGGATGGAGCCGGGAAGGTCTTTTATCAATGCCACTCAACCACAGCTGGGACCCCAGGGCCTGGGAGAGCACTTGTCTGCCTTCCTTCCCCCATCCCACCCTGACCGGCCCCCACCACTTTAGAAACCAAAGGCAACCCAAATGAAGGTTTTAGGCAAGCCCTTCATTGCACTGGGTATTCAAAGGGGAGTCCAAGGTGGGAGGGAAAGGGGAATTGCACACAGTGAAGGGCTCTGCAGGGTGCATGTCCTCAGTGCTGTGTGCTTTCTACAGCAATTTCATGGGGCTCCCCTCCCCGGATCCTCACCGCGGTCTTTGAGCCAGGGGAGCTGCTCCTCATCCCCATTCCACAGGGGCAAGCAGAGGACTAAGGGGTTGGGTTAAATTGCCAACATTATGTGACTGGTGAGGGCAGATCTGGGGTGCATTCATCAAACGTATATGATCAAGCATTTCCTTTATACTGGACACTGTGATGGGTGCTTGGGATAAGAGCAAGATGACGGAGCTTCCTGCTATCATGAAATTCGTATTCCACTGGGGGAGACAGACAATAAGCAAGTAAATAAATTCAATGGCTTCAGCTAATGGCTGAGATCTGAACTGGAGTCTTTTGATTCCTAATCAAGGACATTCTCACAATACTATTGCAGTCCCTTTTACTTTAAGCTAAGAACTAAAATCTACCCACCCATTCATTCACCCACCATTCCATCCATCCATCCATCCATCCATCTATCCTTCCATCTATCTACCCACACATGCATCCATCTGTTTACCCACCCATCCATCCATCCATCCATCCATCCATCCATCCATCCATCCATCCATCCATCCATCTGGTCCAAGGTTACCCCCTTTCATCTTTGAACATGAGCTTCATGAAAGCTGAGAGACTAAGACTATGGAGCACAAAGAGCACTGTTTGGTGAGTCAGAGGCCTGGATTATAGTTCCACTTCTGTGTTGCACTCAGCAACAGTGGCTGCTCACCACTCTACCTCTCTGGTCTCAGCCCAGATGAAGTCGTGTTGCCAAGGGAAATGACCCATGTGGGAATGGTGATGATATTTGTTCAATGGGATTAGTGATTTGAAAGTAATTTGAAAGCAGCTGTGTGTTTCCCAGCTCTGGAATCCACCCAAATACCTTCAAGTATTGGATGACCTTCACAAAGCCATCTGTCCACTCTTCCAAGGGAGAAAAGCGGTAAAAGAGAGTAGCCCCCCAGTTATTTACACAGAGAAGATTTAAACACCTGAATGTGCAAGGAAGATGGACAGAAACTAGACCGCCCTTCTGATGATCTCAGTTCCTACATGAAACTTCTGTATTATCATCATGTATAGTCAAGAGCTGAGACTGGCATCATCCCAGTGGTTCATCCAAGGTCACAGAACCAGCGAGAGCCAGAGGCATAACTCTGTGCCCTAAAATCTCTGTTCTGGATTCATCATTAAAGCCTCTTTTCCCCAGAAGCAATAGCATCCAGGAAAATGCAAGGGACCGGGGTTTTTCCCAGGACTCTGCAGGGATCGGTGGTCAGAATCGGGAAGAGCTTTACTGCTCCTCCGAGATCCGCAGCTGAGTTCAGGACCGCTCTTCTCACGTGGCTTTCTGAGACCGAGCAGTGGCCTTGTCTCACCCAGGACTCGAGCCGAGACCATGGCCCCTTCCCTCACCATAGAAGGTAAACACGACTAGGCTGGGAAGGGGGGGGGTCTTTGCTGTTGATCAGTTATCAGGACCCGCCTCCCCCTGGCCCAGAGGACAGAAAACAGTCCATGACCAAAATAAACGCAGAGATGACATGCAAAGCATTTATCACAACCTGAAATTTGGATGCTTGCTTTGGAGTTTCTTTACAATGTGGTGAGGTTCAAGAGGAATTTGAGAACGCTCCGGACCCGCTTTCATCGATGAGCCAGCACCAAGCTTTTCTTAGGACTCTGCATCAGACCTTTGGGGTATTAAAGCCTGGAATGTGTAATTTTATGATTTTCCAAAATGAGCTCCAGCCCTTTTCATATTATTCTTCCTTTTTTTTTTTTTTTTTTTTTTTACTTGTAACAAATCTGGAAGGGGATCAGAAAGTTGGGAATGGTTAGTTTTGCCTTGGGTTTTTTGTTGTTTTTTTTTTTTCCCCTTGCCAAGGGTACCCTGCAGCAGCTGCACTTTCTATTATTGCAAAGGGGAACGCCCTGGTTAAACGGAAAACCCAAAGGTTCTGAATCCGGCGACAATGGAAACATTCCGATTTATGGATCCGGGGGTGGAAGCAAGAATGGAGGGAAGAAATCAAGGGAGGAAGCGACCAAGACAACAACAAAAAAAAGTGGAGTGTAGCCATGCCTTCAGGATGCCAAAGGAACGCCCAGTCGAAAAGTGAAAAGTGGGGATGTCTTCACCCATCTGGCGTGACGCAGACAGAACACAGTGGCTGCCCTTTTCACTCTCTGTCTGGACACATCTTCGGGCGTCCTATGGGTCCCAGATGTGTCCCAGAAAGAGTCTAGCTGAAAATACGTTTGCTGGCCGTTCCGTGGGTCCAGCCCCAGCGTAGCCATGTTTTGTTTGGGAGACGTCTGACTTATCTGTGGAGGATGATGCCGGAGGAGATGTGGGGTGGAGCCCATGCCCGGGCTGCCCCACCCCAGCTGGGGAGCTGTTTTGTAACAGAGTCCAAAGTCCAAGGATTTACTGTGGGGTGAATGTCTGGCTGGGAACTTTATATCCAAGGACCCCCCTCCTGGTCACAGAGGGTCAGCCTCCCACCCTCAGTGCCCCGGGAAGAATGGAGAAGGGCCACGGATGTGTGCCAAGAGCAGGACTGTCACTACCTGCTGACCGCTCTGTCTTCAGCACCTGGCACAGGATCTGGGCACTCGGGTTTCGGGAATACCTGTTGAATGACGGGTGAGTGGCGTTGGGTAGCAGAAACCGAGAGAGCTAGTAGCAAGGTGTGGCGGGCAGAGTGGGTCAGACCTGGCTTTGACTCCAGCCTCCGTCCTTCCCAGCTGCAGGACCTCGGGTCGGTTACTTCCTGGGGCCTCAGTCTCTGCCTGTGAGGCAGGAGGGAGAGCAGCCGCCCGGGGGAAGGGCTAGGAGATGAGAGGAAGGTCCCTCAGCAGCTGCTCCCTCTGCGACGGCTCCTCCCATCACCGAGTCCGGCGTCCTGCCCTCGTGCCACCCACCACCACCGTGCGTGGCAGGGATGTCCCGGTGTTTCATTTTTCTTCACATCCCCTAATGACAGACGTAGCCCTGAACGTTTATGGATTAGAAAGCGCTTGGAAGATGAGGAAAGAAAAATCTCCAGTTCGGGAATGAATCCGAGTGGGAGGTTTGCCCCTCGGTAGAAAGTCCCAAGTACGGCTCCCCCAGAGGAGACACCTGGAGGTGTGTTATTCCAGACGGACCGGCCACGAGGCTGGTCGTGGTGTCCCCCTCTCTCAAGGGCTGCCCTCGGGAACACCCTAGCAGCTCATTTACACGCTCGAGCTCACTGAATTCTTAGCCGCCCAGTGGAGGAAGGATGACTGACTTTGACTTGGAGATGAGGAAAATCAGTCCCTGTGGGGGCAGATGCCGACACCCCACAGACAGGCAGTAGAAAAGCCAGGTTCAGTCCCAGACAGGTCTGGACGTCTGAACCTGGAGTCTGGATATGAGGGGGTCCTTGAGCCCCTGGAAGTGGTATGCACCCTCCACTCCCCCAACTTTGCGTTTCAGTGCATTTTTCTAGGAGGGAGCCCACCCTTTTGAGAGTTCCTAAAGCGGTCAGCGAGCATGAAGGGGTCGGCACTGTCCCCGCGGCCCCACGCTAGGGAACACCTGCGCCCAGAGAACGGGAGGAAGGGGCTTGCTCAGCCGCAAAACGGCGACTCGGTCATTTGTGCTGACTCAGCAGACACTCGCCAGGCCCAGGCTGGCGCGAGGCATCAGGAAAGGGGTTGGAAACGCTCCCATCCATTTGTCCATCTGTCCTTCCGTCCATTGCACACACAGGTACGGCATGCCTTCTCCGTATTGCATGGTGTCGGAGAGCAGAGACTACGGATTCCGATCCCACCTAAACCCACTGCTGTTCGGCTCTACGAGGTTTGGGCAGATCTGCTGACCTCTCTGCGTCTCCTTTCTGTCCTCCGCAGAATGGGGATAATAATAGGACTCATCTCACTGGGGGGTTATGAAGGTGAAATGTGTTATCTCAGGGGGAGTACTTCAAACACTATGTGTTGTTTTCGCTGCTATCGTTGGTTTTATTATTATTTTTTGTCACCAGGTATGAAGTGGGCTCTGGAAATGCCCTGCCTTCATGGAATTTATGCAAATTTAGTCTGGGGGGAGGAAGATAATTTAAATAATGATAACTCTTATTTCTTGAGTGTTTCTTTGTACCAAGCTCTGGACTAACTCACACATGTTCTCTTGTTTCATTCTCAATTTCCTGTGTTGCAAAATGCTATTAGGACTCTTTCCATTTTGCAGACAAAGAGACTGAGCTCAGAAAGATCAGTGTTTGCTTAGAAGTCCATGGCCAAGGTCCTCACCGTGAGAGTCCCCCTCTTTGTAGCAGAACGGAGCCCGGGGCTTCCAGTCTCGGACACGTGACTTACGGCTGTCCCTGCCTTGAGCAGCCCGGGGGCCGGCCCCGGTCTCATGGCTCTCTCTCCTCCTGTCTCAGCAGATGAAGAGTGCTCCACCGCTGACCACCCCTACAAGAAGCCCTACATGGACACCTCGCCCAGCGAAGAGGACCCGTTCTACCGCCCCAGCTACCCCCAGCAGCAGGGCCTGAGCGCCTCCTACAGGACAGAGTCGGCCCAGCGGCAGGCCTGCATGTACGCCAGCTCCGCGCCCCCCAGCGAGCCGGTGCCCAGCCTGGAGGACATCAGCTGCAACACGTGGCCCAGCATGCCCTCCTACAGTAGCTGCACGGTCACGACCGTGCAGCCCATGGACAGGCTGCCCTACCAGCACTTCTCCGCTCACTTCACCTCGGGGCCCCTGGTCCCCCGGCTGGCTGGCATCGCCAACCACGGCTCCCCGCAGCTCGGAGAGGGGATGTTCCAGCACCAGACCTCCGTGGCCCACCAGCCTGTGGTCAGGCAGTGCGGGCCTCAGACTGGCCTGCAGTCCCCCGGCAGCCTGCAGCCGTCTGAGTTCCTCTACTCCCACGGCGTGCCGAGGACCCTGTCCCCACACCAGTACCACTCCGTGCACGGGGTCGGCATGGTGCCGGAGTGGAGCGAGAATAGCTAAAGGGAGGCCCGCTTCCTCACAGACGTTCACGAGAGAGAGAGAGGAGAGAGAGAGAGTGTGCGGGAGAGAGGCAGAGAGGCAGTAGCAGAGAGAACCCCACGGACAAGACTCTCCATTTTACCCCCATGTTCACGCCTGCACTCAAGAGCCTCCCCCCCCCACTGATCTAATCAGTAGCCCGAAACCACAATTCAAAAAATGTGACTTTGTTGTTTCATCTCAAAACTTAAAAAAAAAAAATGGAAAAGATGAATCCCGTCCCCACCCACGCCACCACACTCCTCAGTGGGCCGCGTTCATGCCACCGTTCCAGGTTCCCCCCGATTCGCCCCTTTGGTCTCAGAAAGTCTCGCCTCATTGAGCATTTTCCCCTAATGTGGAGCTGGGGTCTTTTCCTGCCTTGGTGTTAATGTTGACATTGTTATATAATAAATAATAATATATTTTTTTCTTTCAACTTTCTTAACGGGACCCAGTCCCTTATTTTGGGGGAGGTCTGAGGCAAGTATGTTTCCAAGTCTGTACTTGTGGGGACCCCTTCCTGTAAACCACCCCCCTCAAATCTAAATTTGCCACCTTCCCCTTGACTAAGAAATGACCTACCTCTGCCATGTACTGTTTCTGAAAAGGTCCCCTACGTGCCCAGCTTTTCTCGGATCAGGCCCTACCTTCCCCTTCGTCACGGAGCCCAGTTTGATTTCGGGGGGAGTCAGGATAACCTTGGACTCCATGCGGCGCCATATCTTACTCCGCGCTCCCGTCTTCCCCGCTCTGGGTCCTCCCAAGCCATCTGTCGCTAAAGTGTGGCCTATAGCTTCCTGGGCCAGAAAGCTTGCTCTGAAAAACTTAAAAAGCCCTGCTTTACACTCGGGCAGAACTGTGATAAGCAAGGGGCAAGCCCCGTGCTCACAAAAGCGGTGAAAAAGCCAAAATAAATACTCGTCCTGATAAAACACAAAGCCAGCCCCAGCCTCCAAACCTCTCGACGACCCAACTGGATGCAAAAGCAAAACCCACCATTCCTCGCGAAGAGGCAAGACATGCTCACCGGTCAGTTCTCTCCAAGGAGATCACACCAAACGCCGACACCCAGCTGTGGTTATGGAAAGCAGAAACCGTGTTAAAAAAAAAGTGTGTAAGTAAAACGTTATTGCAGGGTTCTTCAGATGTAATATTTTACTGGTACTATTTATTTATAAATAGGAGTTCTAATTAAGTAATAACGTGAAATCCAGCATGGGAGCTGGCCAAGAGCTTTTAATTTTATTGATACTCAAAACCAAGCTTGCGTTCTTTTTTTTTTTTCTCCTTTCGAATGTGCTTTGCTTTCTTGATTTTTAAAAAAAAATTCTTTTTTAACTGACCCTAATAAAAAGAACAGGGTAATGTGAGAGACTGAGTATGTCCAAGTACGTGAGAGAGTGCGAGTGTTTGTAACTGTGTCTTCAAGCGATTTTGTCTTTTTATGTTGCTGGGGGGGGAGGGTGAGAATTAAGTACTCATTTCGTATATTTGTGTGCCAAGTAATGCCTAATAAATACTATGTGCTTTAAAAAGTACAAGGGACTTGAATACCCATTATTTTTCCTGTTCTTTCTACTGACTGCAAAGAAAAGAACTTAGAAGAAGTAAGGAAGTGTGGTCTTCCAGGTGAATTTTTCACCGCATCTGCCCTCTCTCGCTCATTTCGAGGTATTTAGAATCTCTTGAACTTGAGTGTGATGGAGCTGAGTCTGTGTATCTCCTGGTTTATGTCCCTGGAATGGAGGTATTCATTTTCATTGAATTTGTGCCAGCATTGAGAAAGAAAAACCATCAGGAATCCCAACTCATCAATAAATGGTATCGGCCGTGCTGTAGGTAACACCCCGATACTTGGGTTTCTGAAGGGTCTCTCTCTTTGAGTTGATTGCCAGAGTTGAGCATCTTGGAGGTCCCAATCCACGCCACTTTACGGACCGGCACTGGGCATTTCCCTAAAACCCCCAAATTCAGGTTTGTGAATCGGTCGTATAGGACATACATGAGGCAGTACAGAGCAGCGAACTGGTAAGTGAATTCGTCCTGCAAAATGTCTTTAATTCCAGTTGTCCAGAATGTCGCACTCCTTTGGAATGGGAATAACTGCCATGTCGATGACAAATTCTTCATTTAATCAGGCCCCCCCTGGGATGCTTCCTAGTTGAAGAACCCCTGAGAAATGTGAATCCATGATAAAGACACAAGTCCGCCTTTTTCATGTACAGGGGAGAAACTTGGTCAATGGCATTTCTGTCCTCACAGAGAACGAATTGGCACCGTCTCACCAACTCAGTTCTGACTGTCCTCTAAAGAGGTATTTATTTGGATGGGCGCACGCACACACAAAAGCGACCTTTGAACAGCTTGCCTTCCAAATGCCTTTACCAATGACGCAAGGCTATCAGTCTTACTCTCCCATAAGAACAGCATAAGAATTCTGAATGAACGTCCCCCCCAACCCCCGTCAGCACTCAAAACACTTGTCACCCTTGGAAGAATCTTAAAAACAATGTTCTTAGCAAGTTTCAAAAAATCAGCAGAGGGACTCACTCATTCCATAACACGGGCAAGGTGACCTCTTTGGGCTCCAAACAAAGGAGATAAAGGTGTAAGGATGCGATGGCCAAATGTCCCTGCAGTTTTCCCACTGTTTAGATGCCCAGAAGCGGAACACAAATTACTCTATTTCTGTAGCCTGTTTAGTGGACGCTTGCTCTGGACTAGACATGTCGTAAGTACTGGGGACACAGGGGCGAACAAGGTGGTAGAGGTTGTGTTTTCCTGGACCGTAGGGTTTAGTGAGAGAAAAGAGCTCTTAGATAATTGCATAATCAATGGGCTACAAATGCAGGAAGAACCACGAAGGCAGAGTGAGCTCAGGATGCCGTAATAGGATAAGACAAGGGGTCTTAACCTGCTTCGCAGGAGGGGACTTTTGAGCTGAGCTCTAAATGATGAGTAGGAATTAGCCCAGTGAAAAATTGTGAGTAACAGCATTTCAGGCAAAAGGAGCAGCTTGTGCAAAGGTCCTGAGGCAGAAATGGCGATGGAGAAATGGGATATCGGTTCAGGAGTGTGTAGTGTTCACTGGGTCTGCATCACTCATTTATTCAATAAGCACATGGCAAGGTCCCACCTCATACGGTGGACACCTGTACTCACCGAAGACTTATTGGTGGTGTTGGTCCCCCCAGTGGCAGAGCACAAACTGCATTTGTGAGTGGGTCGGCTGCTTTGTACTCGGGAGGAGAGTGTCACGGCATCTTCCCAGCCCCCTGGTCCAACACTGAGCCCTTGAGTGTGGGGCTCACAGTGAAGGGGCAGGAGGATCCCCGGCACTTTGAGTTTCAGATCATCAGTATTCCTGAGCTCAGAGACGTTGGGAGCACCTGCAACGCGGCACAGCTGGTGCAAGACAGAGCTCAAATAATCAGGAATGCCCCTAAGTATTTCTGTTCCGTGACGTTCATTATGAAGTTTTCTTAATCGTAAAAACTGGAGACAGCTTTCTTACCCCATAACGTGGGGTTGGTTAAATAGATCGGCGTACGCTCACAGGCTGGCATACCACCAGGCCATCGGAAAACACGAGAAGATGACTTAAAGACAGTGTTCAACACACAGTATGAGTAAAGAAGGCGGCTGTCCTCAGGTTTGCTAAGTGCACCTGTACTCAGGGGGAAAACCGGGATGTACAATGAATAACTGTGGTGGGACTGTGAGGTTTTTTTGTTTGTTTTTAAAGATTTTATTTATTTACTTTTAGAGAGAGGGCAAGGGAGAGAGCAAGAGAGGGAGAGAAACACTGATCAGTTGCCTGTAGCGAACCTGCACCTGGGGACCTGGCCCGCAACCCAGGCATGTGCCCTGACCGGGAATGGACACGGTCACCTTTTGGCCTGCGGGGCGACGCCCAACCCCCTGAGCCACACCAGTCAGGGCCAGGACCGTGATGTTTTACAGTTTCTTTGTTTTACTGGGCCTTTCTCCTTCTTGTGTGTGTGATGATGAAGATGGATTCTTTTTGTGGTTAAGAATAGGATTCATCACTGAGATAAAATCCAGGTCGTTGCTTAGTCATTGGTCGAACAGAGTGTCTGAGAAAGGTGGCACACCCTGTTCTGCTTTGAGGGTGAAGGGCCGGCACTCCACAGGGGAGTGGCAGGAGCCTGGTCAGTGACGGAGCTGGGTACCAGGACCAGTCAGCCGAGTGCTGACAACGGGATGCTCCGCCTCCCAGTCAGGAGATGCCTGCTGCTCTCTGTCCCCACGTCCTGGGACTGCTGCTTCCGTTCTTATACCGCCTGTGAGGTTAGGCTGCTCTCCTGGGGTGCACTATTATTCTCTGGTTCACAAATGCATCTCACACACACACACACACACACACACACACACACACACACACACACAGCCAGGAAGTTGTAAGGATCTCACCTTTGTTCTCTCACTGGCCTGGCCTATCTAATTCACCACGCCACTGACTGCTTCTGTGACTGTGGGAAAGCCACCTAACCTCTCTAACCTTCCACTTAATCATCTGTGGAATGAGGAGAGTAAGAGTCCTCACCCCAGGGAGTCAGTCTAGGGGGGGTTCCGGGAGACCATGACGGTAAAGAACCCTAAGCGTGTTGTCTGCTACAGAAGATGGGCTGCTGGCTAAGAAGAAGATGAATTAGCATCTATCATTATTATCACTGTCCATAGAGTTGTTTCCCCTCTTCTTCATCTCACGTCTCACCTGCTTGCCCAGGTGAGACAAGGCGGCCAAACCCATGTTTTAGGGTCAGCTTTGAGAAAAACCTAAACTGAGAGAGTAAAACTGCTAACCTCACAGTTTTTCCCCTTTAGATTAGAGGGTGGGGACGCTTGACCTGAGAAAGGTTTATAATCTCTATCTTTGTTTCTCTCTACATATCTTGTCTTTCTCCCCCAGAGAGAGGATTGCGAGAGAGATAAACAGAGTGAAACTGTTAGTGCACATGAGTCTAGTCTCTAACTAAACGTTTTTTTCAGTTCCTTCCACCTAGATCCCCACGCTGGTCCCTTTATTATAATCATGGCTCTCGGCCTCTCCTTCCTCTCTGTGAGTTCCCTTTCAAAGCTGCCGTGGGTGCATGGGTTGCGTGCGGCACAGCCCTCAGAGCCCGTCACGTATGTGGATGGTTTATCTGCATGGAGCCGAGCAGGGCACAGCCTGACCGGCTGCTCACAGCGGCCCTGGACCGCTGATACTCCCAGTACATCCTGTCCTGGAGGGCGGCACCATAGCCGATCAAAACCTTGACATGGAAAGAAGTTGGAGATCTTATGTCCCAGAGCTCTGCCTGCGGAAGGTCCCAGGGGTGTCCAACCCGCGGCCCAGGATGGCTTTGAATGTGGCCCAACACAAAAATTATAAATGAACCGAAAGCCCTTTTTGGCTCATCAGTTTTTGTTGGTG